AACTGGTTATACAAACAGAACACAACAGAAACTTCAATTTATCAGATATTAAAACAACAAAAAGTGCACAAAATTAACACATATGCCATATTTTCATCAATCAAATGCTTTTCATGATAAAATCAACTTAGATATGCATCAATTTCAAAATAGTAGCATTACAAATTGACTAATGATACTTTAAATTTTCACTTTATATCCACACTTACTACTATTTAGATTTCTATGAAACAGCATTACCGGGGGTAGATTTGAGGCATAGCAAGTTGAGCTATTATCTGGAACCCTCAACACCATCCCATATATACACTGGTTCGAGTCCAAGTTACCCCACTTCCATTTCAGCTCCCTGGGAATGGCCTGGAAAAGCAGGTAAGATGGCCCAAGTCCTTGGTTACCTGCACCCACATGGATGACACAGAGGAGTTCCAGGCTCCTGGCTTCAACATGGCCTAGCCTCACCCATTGAGGCCATTTGAGGAGTGAACCTACAGATGGAAGTTCTGTCTTTCTCTGTAACTCTGACTTTCAAATAAATAAATACATCTTTTAAAAAAGTTACTAAGAAAATGAATTTTATAAATAACAATAAGTCTGGTTAATATTATTTCAATTCATCTAACTCTGTAATTTATCTTTTAATAACCAAATAAAAAAGTATCATTCAAATAATATTGAAAATCTGTAAGGGAACAAATTAAGAAACGTAGAGGGGAAAAATCCAAAATTTGATTTCGCTAGCATCTCAACTACGCTTTCAAGAGAACAGTTAAATATATTACCAGCATAAATCCTTATTCAGTGAATCTATCTTATCAGAAACTTGAGAAAAAATTGTAAAAAATAAGTGCAGATATTACCAGTAAACCTAATCCTTTAATAATTACATGGGGAAACTTGGATCACAAAACACTTGAAGAAAACTACCAGCAACAAAAAAGAACCCTCATAAATAGCTTTTTTCAAAGAGAAGAAAACAACTTAAACACTTAGGGCCTAAAGATTATGGGGCCAACGATGTGGCCTAGCAGGTAAAGCAGCCACCTACAGTGCTGACATCCCATATGGGCACCAGTTCTATCCCCAGCTGCTCCACTTCCAATCCAGCTCTCTGCTATGGCCTGGGAAGGCAGTGGAAGATGGCCCAATTCCTTGGGCCCCTGCACCTGCATGGGAGACCCAGAAGTAGCTCCTGGCTCCTGGCTTCGGATTAGCACAGCTCCGGCCATTGCAGCCAGTTGGGGAGTGAACCAGCAGATGGAGGACCTCTCTCTCTCTCTCTCTCTCTCTCCCTCCCTCCCTCCCTCTGCCTCTCCTTCTCTCTCTGTGTAACTCATATAAATAAATAAATCTTTAAAAAATTATATTATACCTACATGAGCAGATGACTATGAACTAGAAAAAGTACCCAAACATAAATAACTGAAGTAAATAATAAAGGGCTAATAGAAAAAATTAAATACATTTCCAGAAAAAGAAAAAAAGACATGGAAAATGAAAAAAAAAAAAAAAAAAACTTTGATACAGAAGCTCTAAATAAATAATTATAAGGATAAAAAGGAGTCAACACAAAAAGAAAGCAAACACAGGTTACCTACAAAAAAATGAACACCAAGCCTCTCAGCAATAAAACTGGTTACTAAACAGTAATGTAACACAACCCTGGAAATTTTGAAGGAAAATTATTTTAAACTTTGAATTCTATACCCCACCGAGGTCTGCTTTTATGCATCTGGTGCAAAACATTATGCTGACAAGCACCCACACACGTTACTCCTGGGAAGAAAAAGCGATTCAGGAGGTACTCTAGAAACTGTAAAGCGGTCGGCGTGGTGGCATAGCAGGTTAAGCTGCCACCTGCAATGCCAGCATCCCATATGGGCACCAGTTCCAATCCAGGCTGTTCCACTTCCAATCCAGCTCTCTGCTATGGCCTGGGAAAGAAGAAGATGGCCCAAGTCCTTGGGCTCCTGCACCTGAGCGGGAGATCCGGAAGAAGCTCCTGGTTCCTGGCTTCAGAACCGTACAGCCCTGGCTGTTGCGACCAATTGTGAATCAACGGATGGAAGATTCTCATTCATTCTCTCTCTCTCTCTCTCTCTCTCTCCCCCTCCCCTCCCCTCCCCTCCCCTCCCCTCCCCCCTTCTCTCCTTCTCTCTTTCAAATAAATAAATCATTAAAAAAAGAATTATAAAGTAAATCCAAAACAAAAGGAGGAAAGACACAGATCTAAGAAAGCACAGAAGTTGTCCAAGAATGAACTAACATTATATTAGCTAAGCATCAGATCCAGCAATTCAGTTCATATTAAAACTGCAAAAAATGGTACGATTAAAAAGCTGAATAGTCAAGTAATATAATAAAGTGAGGCACTCTCCTTCCAACACAGGAAAAATATGGCACGTAGAAGTCAAACTAAAATATGGCACGATCTTAAGTTCCAGTGGAATACAAGAGAACCATCTGTCCTCTACTTTGCTTAGGCAAAATTACTTATATTTATATTGACCATTTTCAGATCAACAATAACTATTACAAACCTTGATAATATAAATGTTACAGTTGACATAAATTGGGAAGAGAACTGCAGGGAGTTCAAGGGAAAGAAAGTGAGGGGTACTAATTATTCACAACTTACAAAGCTGCTTGTTTAGAGACAATGTCTAAATATTTTTTAATGTTAATGTTCCAACAGCCTGAAGTTTAACTATAAAGGCAGGGGGTTTAGGGGTGAGGGAGGCAGAAGAGGTATTAAAATTTAAATTCTTCATTTTTCATAGTGGGAAAGCATTAGATTACTTAGGATAGTTAATCACAAATAAACTTCAGGATATCATGTATTGAGATAATGAACAGCAGAATAATAGAAAAGGTCTAAAAGTATTACCTTTGAGGAAAAAAAAAAGTAGGGGATAAATATTTTTACTTTTCATTTTGTAATTTGCTTCACCAAGTACTATTCACACTCATATTTACATGACTATTACTTTCAAAATAAGCACACACAAACTCATTAAAATCCACAGTCCCTTACTAGTTTAAGAAAAACACTTCAGAAATTTTTATCCAATTTTTTCTTGTCTATATTGCATGTACTGAAGACTAACCTTCTATTACAGAATTTCAGACAAGATACAATTAATTAAACAGACTAAGGACCCACCCCAAATCCTTCTTAAACATGTAAAGATAGCAATATGCTGTATTTGTGTCACAACTGTCAAAATAGAACCACATCCATTATCTCATTTAATCTGCTGGAATAAACTTGTGAGAGCAGACTTCCGCAGTTAGTAAAATAAAACTCCAGAAAGCTTATTTAAAAGGCTTGTCATGCCCCAAAAGACACAGTAGGAAAAATTACATATAAGTAAGTTTAAAAAGATAATAACAATAAAAAGAACCACTTTCACAAGCACTGAAATCTGAAAATGGTTTCCAAATTTATGAGAATATAAAAGAAATAAAACTTAATAGAAATGGTTCACCACTGTGGAAAAATTTTGGTGGTTTTTAAAGAGTTAAACACGTACTTCTTAAAATTTAAACATACACCCACTATACAACCCAACAATCTCAATCCTAGGTTATTTTACTCAAGACAAAAAAAATCATACAAAGTCATATACCAGTAGTCAAAAACGAGGGACAGCTGAAATATCCATCAGCTATTAGATAAATCATGATCTAGTCACACCATAAAATACTACTCAGCAATAAAAAGGAACTAATGGTACATACAACAACATGAGTGAGTCTTCAAACTATTACTCCATGTTAAAGAAACCAAATGAAAAAGACTACATGTTGCATGATACCACTGGTATAAAAATCTATCAAAGTAAAACAGAGAAACAGAAAGCAGAGCAGTGGTTGCCAGGGTTGAGGGATGAGGACTGGACTACAAAGGGGCATGAAGGAACTTCCTGGGGAGATGGAAATGTTCCCTATCATGATTAGAATTGTCTATTACACCACTATTCATGTTAGGAAAAATTCATCAAATTGTAACTTAAAATTGTCTAACATTATTGTATGTAAATTTCAATTCAAAATGGCTGATGTAAAACTCAATAAATGGATAATCACACTTAAAACTAACAGCTTTTCAGAATACATATTACCTACAGACCTTCAAAGAATGTTAAAATCAGTATTTAAGACAAAACGTTCACCCAGAAAACATACATACAGGAATAAAAAAGTCCTGAAAATGGAACAATCCTCTTCCTACTCAACTTGTCCATGAGGGTAAATAGCCGTTGCCTAGCAACCAGTCTACACTCTAGCTTTCTAATAAACACACTGACCACACAAGCAGGTGATCTCACAAATGATAAGAAAAGCTTTACACTGAAGAGTTCTTCCTTTATTAACAACAAAGAAAGCATGTGCTAATCTAAAGTACAGTGAACAATACTAAAAGTAAATAATAAAAAATTAAAATATGAAAGTAAACAAACATACACAAAAATCCTTGTCTTAATTTGGCCTTTTACTTCAGAACTCTACTTACCTAATTTATGAGGCTGTTTAGACCATGGATTTGTAGGGCAAACACCTCCCCCTTTACTACTTTAAACCCTTTTCCTGCCATGATCCAAATTAGCTTAACTGGATATGTTATCTATATATTTAAATTATCTTAAATGCACACAGAATAGAACTTTTCTAGATATTAGATTATTCTAAAGGTATGTCTCCAGACTGTAAAATCTGTGAATACCACAGAAAAATGTAACACTAACTTTCTATAACATGTATGCACACAACATATCACAAAGTCAAACCTAACTTTTTAACTCAAAATCAAGAATTACTAAGAAATTCTAAATAACGAGCAAATTCCTAAACATTAATTCAATATAACTTCTCACTTAGTAGACATAGCACATCATGGTTTACTTTCACAGCATCAGCAAAAAGATCAGCTAGCAAGAGACCACTCACTGTTCAGCAGGCTTACCAACCATATTATTTTTGGTTTGTTGAGCACTTACCCCTCTTCTGAACCCAACCTTCTTTCACAATGGTAACATCGCTCATGATGGCTCCCTCTGAGCCCCCACCTCGAAGAAATGGTACTCTGTGATAGCAGCTTCAGGGTCTGGAGTCTGCTGCTGCTGCTGCCCTTCCCACTCTCCAGTGATGACTCAGCCTGGAAGGAAGTATTGAAGAAAGAATTTCTTTTTTTCCATTCTTGCAACTCACATAGCAATAACAAACAACTAATTCTTTGTAAATGTCTTCAACCGGCCTGACCTCGCATAAAAGTCTAGCTCTTCAAACTGGGGAACTTATTTTGAATGCACTTCCTTGGTCTTGTGACAGATTTCAAATCACAGAACAAGTTTTAACCTAAGAGGCTGCAACAAAATATGTCTTAAGAAAACCACTGTCGCACCAACACAAGTAACACAGAAAAATCATTCCATAGTGTGTCTGTTTAAGGTGACGCGGGAAGAGAATGAAACTTAAGTGAACTAAATCCCTGCAATTTCAAAAACTGTTATAGCAGAGCAATTCTAACTATTTGTAACTACTGTACTTACAAAACAGGTGCCAAGAAACCGACGTGTATTCTTACTCTGCGTGTTCCAAGAAATATTTTAGGTAGATCACAACAAGTATATAATATAAAATCAGCTATTTTCTTAAGTAGACAAAGAAAATGATACAAAGAGAATATGAAAGTGGAAAAATTGCTGAATATTCAAGATGTGCCAAGAACTGCTACAGGTCCTTACACTTACTTTCCTCAGGTAATCTTCACACCAATCCTATTAGGGTACTGTTAAATCCATTTCAAAAATGAGGAAACTGAGGGGGGTTCACAGAGATTAAGCAGTTTGTCCGACTGCAACACAGCTAATAAATGATGGAGCCAAGATCTGAACCCAGGCTGTCTGACTCCTGAGCGCACATTCTTAGTTCCAAAACTACACTGCCTTAAGATAAAAAAAAAAAAAACCGGAGCAAAAAGTCCCTCTATTTGTGAAAGATAAGCCACAAATCAGGCATGAAGTTTTCAGAAAGACAATCCAAATGAGGAAACACAATAATTTTCCCTATTTACAGCATCCATAAATTTAAAAAAATGTTGGGCTCAGATGGACTGTAATACCTCCTGGGACAAAAATCAGAACTATACAGCCCATGAGTCTTCATAAAATACCTCATAGTGTAATCAGCAAAATCCTCAAAATAGGCCTCATATATAGCAGCTGGGCTTTACAAGGCTATTACTGTCCCTTTTTACCTAAAAAGGAAAATGCTAGTTAAATTGAGTAAAAGCATTTCCACAGAAAGGGACCAAAAATGTGGTCCAGGTATACCATGTTTCATGGTCCAGGAACACAGGCATAATTTTTGGAAAACCAGAAAAATGAACAGCTGAACTAAACAACCATACTACTTTTAAATTAGGCAGAGCAGTAAGTTCAAGGTTAAACTCCCTCTTTAGTACTAAACTAGATTATATGTCTTTCTCAAATGCAAATTAAGTGCAGGGAGGGCCTCATCATTCAGCAGTCAGGAATCAAGACTAAATATCCTGTAAGCTGTCTCTATAGCCTGACAAGGATGTGTGGCTGAACAGAAGACGACCCCCTTGAAGGGCCAAAGGCAGTACCTGCACAGTTAAGACCAAGACTACTCAAAGTCATCACTGAGGAGTCTGTGGCTACAGAGAATCAAAAAGGCATATTAGAATCTAGGATTACCCTCCCAAACTATGTTTATCTGAATACTCAATTAGAGACATTCTGGGAATAGAATAAGGAAAAGAAAAACAAGTCAAATAAAGCCTAGAAAGAGTCTACAAGCCATGTCCTCAGAAAACATCACTACTAACACATTAGTGGCTCTGAAAAACACAGGTAAAACTTGGTTTACCAGGGCCAGCACTGTGGCAGAGTAGGCTAAGCCTCCACCTGCAGCACCAACTGGTTTGAGTCGCAGCTGCTCCACTTTCAATCCAGCTCTCTGCTATGGCCCAGGTGCCTAGGCCCTGCACCCATGAGGGAGACCCGCAAGAAGCTCCTGGCTTTGGATCGGCCCAGCTCCGGCCATTGTGGCCATTTGGGGAGTGAACCAGTGGATGGAAGACCTCTCTCTCTCCCTCTCTGTCTGTAGCTCTGCCTCTCAAATAAATAATCTTAAAAAAAAACAAAAAACAAAAAAAAACAAAAAAACTTAATTTACCCCAGCAAAGACTAAACTTATTACTACCATAGAAAATGGTTATGTAACACAAGACAAGATCCATTTCACTATTAAAAATGGGCAAAAGCTCTCCTCCCAGGCCAACTAGGTAATTAACGGAAGTCAACAGGGTGTTTCCCAAGGAGGTTCACACCTTCTTTATGATGTACCCCGTGTGAAGAGATAGGTAGGTCTAGGACTCATAACTGGAAAGGCCTTAAAGCCCACCTGATTGTCATCAGGCCTCTTCTGTCAGTTTCTATTTGCCTCTCAATTGGAAAACTTATTCATGTTTAGACAGCAGCTTTCTTAGGTCCTCTTTGTTCTAGATCCTGTCTAGCCCACTTGGGGCCTCATTCCTTTATAATCATAGCCTTGGGGCCAGCGCTGTGGCTCTCTTGGCTAACCCTCGGCCTGCGGCGCCAGCATCCCAAATGGGTGCAGGTTCTAGTCCCGGTTGCTCCTCTTCCAGTCCAGCTCTCTGCTGTGGCCTGGGATAGCAGCAGAAGATGGCCCAAGTCCTTGGGCCCCAGCACCCACATGATAGACCGGGAAGAAGCACCTGGCTCCTGGCTTTGGATCAGCACAGCTCTGGCCGTTGCAGCCATTTGGGGAGTGAAACAATGAAAGAAAGACATTTCTCTCTCTCTCTCTCTCTCTCTCTCTCTCTCATTATCTGTAACTCTACCTGTCAAATAAATAAAAATAAAATCTTAAAAAAAATCATAGCCCCTACTCATACATCAATGGCTCTACTCCTGACCTGTGTGTATTGATGGTCCTCTCCCCCACTTAATGTGTATGATTGTTCAGAATTTTCTCCACAAACCCCTCTACCTACAAAAGATAAATGGCCTTTCTCCTTGTCTTGGTTATGATCTGCTTTAAACCACATCCATCAACAGTCTTCACAAGAGTCCAGAGACCCCCCTCATTTCCTCTCCTCTATGAAATCCTCTGATTCGTTAATGCCACTCTTAGGATCATTCGTTGCTATTGTCACCCTGTCTTTCATACTCCAGTGTCTGTTGAAGTGTTTACAGGAGTTGATAATGGAATGAACCAAGGCCCTCACCAACCAGGCAGTCAAGCAAATGCTGCTACAGGGACATACTCGGCTCCCCACCCAGGAGACAGCAGCTTGAGACGTCACCCCATGCCAGCACAAAGTACCTCGTCTCCCCATGTCAGCAGGAAGTAGCTCTAAAGACAGATCGTCGGCCAGCGCCGCGGCTCACTAGGCTAATCCTCCACCTGTGGCGCCAGCACACCGGGTTCTAGTCCCGTTTGGGGAGCCAGATTCTGTCCCGGTTGCCCCTCTTCCAGGCCAGCCCTCTGCTGTGGCCAGGGAAGGCAGTGGAGGATGGCCCAAGTGCTTGGGCCCTGCACCCCATGGGAGACCAGGAGAAGCACCTGGCTCCTGCCTTCGGATCAGTGCGGTGCGCCGGCCACAGCGCACCTGCCATGCCGGCCATTGGAGGGTGAACCAACGGCAAAGGAAGACCTTTCTCTCTCTCTCTCTCTCACTATCCACTCTGCCTGTCAAAAAAAAAAAAAAAAAGACAGATCATCATCCCTCTACCCATCCTGGACTTCTGGGATAATGTAACCCCATAGAACTCTTGTTTTATAACGAAAATGTTAGTAAAAGTTGCCCCTCTTCCAGGCCAGCTCTCTGCTGTGGCCAGGGAGTGCAGTGGAGGATGGCCCAAGTGCTTGGGCCCTGCACCCCATGGGAGACCAGGATAAGTACCTGGCTCCTGCCATCGGATCAGCGTGGTGCGCCGGCCACAGCGCGCTGTCCTCAGCAGCCATTGGAGGGTGTGAACCAACGGCAAAGGAAGACCTTTCTCTCTCTCACTGTCCACTCTGCCTGACAAAAAAAAAAAAAAAGACGCAGTCTTATCTATGGCGTGATCTACACCCTGGACACCATCCTAGGCTCTAGCCCCCACCACCATTGCTGGACGCCAGGTGATCCCATGGCCCAACCACCAGTGTCAGCTCCACCCCCACCCTAATAGGATTCGCTGCTTCTACTTTCCTGCCCACTCCCAAGCAAAGGTTTAACAAGACCTGATTCTGAACACATGGCTCTCCCTCACGCTCTTGATCTCTTAAGCTCTGTTTTCTTCTTCGCCCCTTCCCTCCAGTCTGTGGAGTTTCAACCAATAAACTCTTTCCCTTTAGGGAAAAAAAAAAAAAAAGGGCAAAACAAAACAGAACAAAATCTCTAGTAAAGAATCCTATCATTTTCATCTGACTGATATAACATCCTAACGAACTAAACATGGTCAACTGGATATACAATACAGAAATGGACAAAGTGAAAGTATTAATTTCTTAACAGTACATAAACAATCTTTTATTTTTTTATTTTATTTTTTTAAATTTTTTTTCACAGGCAGAGTGGACAGTGAGAGAGAGAGACAGAGAGAAAGGTCTTCCTTTACCGTTGGTTCACCCTCCAATGGCCGCCACGGTCGGCACACCGCGCTGATCCGATGGCAGGAGCCAGGTACTTCTCCTGGTCTCCCATGGGGTACAGGGCCCAAGTACTTGGGCCATCCTCCACTGCACTCCCGGGCCACAGCAGAGAGCTGGCCTGGAAGAGGGGCAACCGGGACAGAATCCGGCGCCCTGACCAGGACTAGAACCCGGTGTGCCCGCGCCACTAGGTGGAGGATTAGCCTAGTGAGCTGCGGCGCCGGCCATAAACAATCTTAAGTTCAACATTGGGAGCACTCATGCAAAATGTCTTTACAGAGCTGCACTGTAGCCATTCTCTTCAGTGGTACATGCAGCAAAAGGCCTAACATCTATTACGATCATTCTTGGTTTCAGACTATAAACCTAATATAACCTGGGTAAAGCCAATTAATAATCATAAAAATATACATGCAATAAACACACACAAATCACATGCTCTCCTATTAAAACGATCTATACTATAAT